TGCATATTCAAAAAATCTAATACAATTCATTATTTTAAGAGTTGAAAATAGCGCTACAAATCCATGCATGAAATTAATTAAAATAAATAAATTGTATTTTTTTGTGTGGCATCGGTCCCAATAGTTGTTACACATGACGTCAGGATAGGCCATCTCATACGTCCATCTTCCCAAAGAATATCAGATTGTAGACAAAGGAATTCTAACTAGTATACAGACACCACATCGGTTCTTGATAATGATTGCGGAACTTGAACAAAAATAACAAAATATGAACTTCGGACAGTTTATCCACAACTTAACATATTATTCGAAAATTTGAAAATATAATAAAAACTTGAGATCCTACCGTTTTTTTTTAAATGAAAATTATATATATATATATATATATATATATATATATATATATATATATATATATATATATATATATATAAGTAACGAAAATCGCTTTGTAATTGGCTATTGTGAAATTCGCTAATAATTTTGCTATTGTGAGAGCTTATAATTTTTTCTACATTAATCATGCATGAATAACTAATTTTTAGATTCATTTTATTAAACATCTTTTTCAATTGCTCATCTTTACTAAAATGCTTATCTATTAGCTTTAGGAAGTATTAAATAGGTCAATGTTTGATCCTTACCCCTTCCTTCCTCAATATTAAGTATTATAATAAAAAGAAATATAAAAATAAATTTTAAAACTCTCCCTTCCCTCTCTAAACTCGACCATGTCTCTTACATCATCCCTCGCTACCTTCTATGTCAACTTATATAAGCATAATACTGCCTGTCAAAAGTGTAAATTTTAATTTCATTTTTCGTTTCACCTTTTGAAACTAATGTCTGAAGATCCAGGGAAAAATAAAAGTTTCTGGTGAAATAAATTATTACAACGGAGCCTTAAAGTAGTCTGTTTTTCTTCAAATTAAATAATATATATATATATATATATATGAAAAAAAATATAGTTTTAAGATATGCTATATTCATGTGATATATATCGGAGAGAGATCGTATGGAAATATAAAAGTGAGAATTGAAGTCAAGACTTAAAGGCGGCAGGCTGTTTCATGTTCGACACAATCGTCGTGGTCTGACGATTGCGTTTAATATGAAACAGCCTGTCGCCTGTGAGAGTTGACTTCAGTGTTCACTTATATATATATATATATATATATATATATATATATATATATATATATATATATATATATATATTACTGAAATAAACATACGAAGAGACAAAAGTTACTACAGAAGGAAATTCTGGTGTTTGGTCATTTGCTTAGATATTGGAAAATATGTCGTGTCGAGAATTTTTCAGCAACCTTTCATATTGGACAAAGGTTTGGTTTGGTTTGTTTTGTTTTACGGCATATCAACCTCAATGGCTTATTTAATGCCTACAATATTTTATTGCTGGTAAATATTTTTTTAAAAAATGTTTTGCTGGTCATTTTTTTAATGTATTGCTGTTATTTTTTTTTTTCAAAAATGTATAGCTGGTAATATTTTTCTTCAAGAATGTATTACTGGTAATAATGTATTGCTGGTAATAATTTTTTGCAAAGTATTTCTTGTATTAAAACCTATTTTTACACTTTCATAGTGTTTTCACCCTAGTTTGGAAGGTAACTATTTACCCATAGCTGGGACCCTAACAGGTGCTGCCACCTCGGGTCAGCGTTCATCAGGGAACACCAGCAATTAAGAGGCGGTTCCAAGCTCCTCAAAACCTCCTGATCAAAGGCCTTGCTATTTGACGTAGTTTATAGTATTACACAGGATGCTATTGGACAAAGAAATTTCCCATGGTGATACTAGTGTCAAGAGGACGAATGTATTTGTATTAGATATTAAGTGACGATGTCGCTGGTGATGCTGTTATTTATTATGGCCAACGTGTTTTGACGGTTGGAAAATATCTTTTATCACTGTTATTATTAATTTATAGGTTGAATATCAGAAGAAATGACCGTAGAATTTAAGCTTCTTTATGTCAGTTTAGAAAACACTTTACACTTAATGCAGGGAGCTAAAAAGCGATGGATGACCACATGGGAATACCGGGTTACTGTAAGCAAACTCTTACAATCTGAAATTGTTTCCACTTTGTATAACATATAAAGGGTTCATAAGCCGTAAAAACGATATCAGTGCCGTCATCATCGTCATCAGAGGATAAGTGCAGTTATTTATTCAAATACTCATTAAGTGAGCGTTTTTGTGTACGCAAACGTAAGTGTGTTTATACATATATATATATATACATATAACATGTGTTATATATATATATATATATATATATATATATATATATATATATATATATATATATATATATATATACATGTATTATATATATTATTATTATTAAATATTTATATATATTCGTTTTGATTTCGAACCTGCATCCTATAAAATACCGTCATTTACAGCTTCGGTGCCTGCACTGTCTCGGCCACAAATATAGGATGCAGGTTCGAATCCTGTCAAAGAACGAATATTTTCTATGAAACTTTCTCAATTCAGGCCGGTAAATGTTATTTAATACTGTTTATCATAAACAGAGCATTTGCTTAAATACTTGTATCTATAAATAACAACGTTATACATAAAAATGTCTTTAATAAATAAATTGTCGGACCTTGTCCATTTCTTAATATATATATATATATATATATATATATATATATATATATATATATATATATATATATATGTGTGTGTGTGTGTGTGTGTGTGTGTATATATATATATATATATATATATATATATATATATATATATATATATTTTAAAATTTGTGGAATCCTCACTACCATGAGCCCGTCATCGCTGTAAAGCCCAATGTCCTAATGTCTAATTCACGGTGCGGGTCTAATTCACCGTGCACCGTGATTTAGACATTAAGGACATTGGGCTTTACAGAGATGACGGGCTCATGGTAGTGAGGAACTCCACAAATTTTAAAATTGATAATATTAGAAATATAATATAATATATAGTGAATTCAGAAAACTAAACTTAAAACTACAGTCAATACTAAATTTAAAAGGGTAAACTTCCTCGACGTAACTCTAGACTTAATGAACAACATATACCTACCTTACAGAAAACCTAACACTAATCCCTTGTTTGTACACCCTAAGTCAAACCACCCTCCATCTATAATTAAGCATATACCCACATCAATAGGGAAAAGAATCAGCATGAACTCCACTAATAAGGAAATATTCCAATAACACAGTAATTTTTATAACACAGCCCTGAAAAATAGCTAACATAAGTTATAGAAACAATAGTACTAACCAGAAGAAAAACAGGAAAAGTAAAATCATTTGGTATACCCCTCCGTTCAACCAAATGGTTAGTATTAAGCTAGGACATAAGTTCCTAGATTTAATTGAAAGACACTTTCCTACTAATAGCAGACTTAGCAAGATCTTTAATAAAAACACCTTAAAATTAAGTTACAGTTGCACTGAAAATCTAGAAAAAAATCATTAAAAAACTTAATAATAAAATGCTGGAAAACACGCATTAACAAAAATCCTAAACTAAAATTAGACAAAAATAATGAAAAATTATATAATTGTAGAAACCCTGAAGACTGCCCGTTGGAAAATAAATGCCGCACAAAATCTGTGGCATACCAATGCACTAGCTCATCCATTGAGAGTCCTAACACTGATAGGATATACATTGGTTCAACGAAGAATAAATTTAAAATTAGATGGAGACAACACAAAAGCTTCTTCAATAATATTAGAAATAGAAATCAGACATCTCTATCCAAATAATTTTGGCATTTAAAAGAAACGAATAAAACACCAAAAGTAAAATGGAAAATAATAAATAGAACAAGAACTTGTAAAACCTGGAATGACCCATGCCCTTTATGCCTACATGAAAAACTACACATTATTAAGTTTCTAAATAATGAAAATTTATTAAACCATTGACATGAGTTAACGGTTTTCTGCCGAACTCGACAAATTTTCGCATTAAATAATTAGAATAAAAAAAATTAATTTCATAGTCTAATAAAAGGTATAAAAGCTTAACCCAAACACAAGATAGAAAAACCCTTTTGAAGTCGCAAATTTTGTAGTTCACTGCGACGCGTTTAAGTACGAAACAGCCCATTAGGAAAAAAATAAATAAATAAAATAAAAATAAATAAATAAAAGGATAAATAAAAAAAATAAACAAATAAAATAGAACAAAATTCTCTTAACGACATATTATGGTGCCAAAAGTAATTTTTCGCTGTGACTGACCAAACGATGTACGCACATGAGTGCCGTGATTCGCTTTGAAATAGATGCCCCCACCCTCCCTCAGCTTGACCTCTTTCCGAAGGTGACTGATATGTGGATAAAAATTATCTCTTAGACCCCTTACCAAAATGGTCGCCCCAGCCGTTTCCATAGTAATTAATTTTGCGAATGAACATGATTATAAAGATGTGTAAATTTCAAGATTGGTTATTCCTAAATTTTAGCTTGAGGATGAAACAGTGCTTGATACTTTAAGTCAGTTTAATTTTAATAATTATATTGAGATTTTCGGCTCTCGTTTTTGAAACATGAGAACTCTTATGTAGCGAAGGAATCATATTTTTTAAAAGATAATTATAATTTAAGCTCTACTTCTGTATGGAGTACTGTTTTTTTTAACTAATAACAAAAATACTAAAGAACTCCGGATTATTTACCCAAGGTGTTCTTTCCTATTTTTCTACATATCTGCACACACACATATATACACACAGGCACACACACACACACACACACACACACACACACACACACACACACACACACACACATATATATATATATATATATATATATATATATATATATATATATATATATATATATATAGTATGCTGTGGGTCCTTGACTTGTAAGTTTCTAAAAATGTATCACCTGATTGAGTTTAAGTGTTCATTATACCTGTACGGTTTCGAATTAAGCATGCATGACTTGTAGATGATCGAATATGATAGAGTTGGAGGAGGAAGGTGTAAACAAAACATAGATCGCCCGCAGAAGGAAATAGAAACGACAGTATTTTCTTTGAAACGAGGTTATTCGGTGCTTCGCTCTGGATCGAACATTGTCGGACGTTATATCGTACTTTTCCTTCATGATTTTCTGTACGAAGATAATTCTCAATATATTTGTATTTGAGATCCATTAAAACGCGACTGAAATGAATATGAATAAAAATTTCGATTGGCATTTATTTATAAGCTCATATAGAAGAATCTACATATATGCGAACCTATTTTTTGTGCGCATGCCTTGTATTAAAGTTTGGATTTAATCGGATTACTCGATATATTGAATCATAAGCATAATATTCAATTAATTCATATGTGATTATTTATATGCCAAAATCTGTATTTCTGTATGATTTACAAATAATACTATGATTAATATGTACATACTAAAGATGGTGATGATATATATTCAGGTTCTGTAACGTTTATGATACCGTGTACCCAGATGCAGTGCTGGAATATTACATGTACGTATTACTATATATAATTTACTAGCTAAGTGTTCGGAGGATTTAAGTGTAATATTACTTTTTTTCAAAAACTGAAAACAATAGAAATTGAATTTCTTTATTTTTCTTGGTGAGTGATTTTTGACATTTCTGGCGTGCGAAAGGAAAGGCTGGTTAATATTGTCACATTTCTTTAACCTTTAGACAACAGAATAGGAGCAATAACAATAACATTTTGTGCAATTGTAGAAATCAAAAGGAATGACCACATGAAATGAAATACTTAACCAGTAATAAAATATATAAAACTACAATAAAAATAGTATCAACAGATAAGAATACAGAGATAGACAACAGAAAAAATAAGGTATAAAAGAAGGATATAACCATAAAATGTTTATCGGGAGAAAAAATATCTCAACCAACATTAAATGGTAAATAATAATATGATCACCGCCATGCAACGCTAATAGTAAAATGTGAAAACTAAAGATTCAAATTGTTGCAAAAATTAAAATGAATTTCTAAACAAATAGAATTAATTAACAGAAAATGTAGACATAAAAATAAATATCTACTTCGTTATTTGAAACCAAACTTAAAAAAGTAAAAATAAATAAATTAATTAATAAATACATTCGAATTAAAAAAATAATAACTAAATAGATTTTCCCTGAACATTACAATCTTAACAATGAATTGTTGTCTCTCTGAATTATCATCATAAAATTTGTTTCCCATCAACTCTAGTTTTTCATATCACACAAATCATAAATATTTTATCAGTAACCCTCTATCTTCAGTGGCACTCGAGCCATGTATCAGGTGAAATTTAGCATAATAAAATGTACGTTCGCGTGGTTTCAGTGATCGCGTTCACACGATGAAATACAGGCTCAGTAAGGAAGTGACTTGGTGATCATATCGGATTTCTGCGTTCAGCGCCATTGAGAAGTGTGTGAAAATGATGCCCAAACCTGTTGCGATTAGTTTGATTTGGGGGAATCCATCATAAGTGTACTGGTCTAGTGCAACTACAGATCACACCCATAAACTATGACTAATATGCACATCGTATAACTGCACTATAAACTACAGCTTGGTTTGAGGGGATGTTAAAGAAACACGAATGGGATTGAACATGTAACTGTAACAGATCTTAACTACCCACGATTTAAAAGAGTAGTGTACAGAGAAAACGTGCATTTAGCCATTATTATGATGACAATGGGAATATGGGAACATCCGAACGTTGTAACGTTGATGATATCATGGAATATGCATGCACCTGTGTTCCCCCCTCACTGGAATATGATTGGCTGGTGTCCGTCATAAATACCGACGGACGTGTAGGTACGACAGAGTCAGAAGAGCCTTAGTCTGAGAGCTAAGTCTATAACGACGCCCATTGGACTACGCCATTGATCTACACTTCTTACCTGCGACTACGACGCGTACCAGTCGATTACTGCTACCGTATTCTACTTGGTTATAGTAGCCAAAACCACTTAGCTACTTCGTTCAAATATACCGCTTTCCGGGATATATCAGTTGAATGCATATATATATATATATATATATATATATATATATATATATATGTGTGTGTGTGTGTGTGTGTGTGTGTGTGTGTGTAAAATAAGTTTATGGATATGAGTTTTAACCTTGGCTTTCACGCTTTTGCGATCATCAGACAATACACACACGCATATTCTGCTATATATATATATATATATATATATATATATATATATATATATGTGTGTGTGTGTGTGTGTGTGTGTGTGTGTGTGTGTGTGTGTGTGTGTGTGTGAGTGTTACAGCAGAATTGTCCAAATCGTGTAACAACATAAATGTCCATCCCATAAAATGTTTGATATTTTAAAACACTAAACTAATTGAATTTCTTTTTTCCAGGTTTTCGGATAAGATGTTTAGCCATCTTGACACCATTTGTTATAAGAATCACTGAAAAAAACATTTGAGTTGTTCAACTAAAAAGTGTATATGTTAAAATCGTTTTGTGTCAGCCCTACTATATCCTTCTAACTGAGCAATGGTGGGAGGAAAAATAATCCAAGCCTTCAGTAAGGGTTCCAACATTCCTACTCTGGCTTCCATCTTCAAATTCAATTC